TTGTTACAAAAATTTTTTAAGTGTGTTGTAAATGGCTGGAAATGTAGCTCAGACTGAAGTCTCTGGATTCTGCACCCAGTACTGGAGGGAGCAGGGAAGGGATGGAGGGAAGAAAGAAGGGAGGAAGGGAAGGAAAAAGGAGGGTTTGCTTTTAAACAGATGGATAATCAACTCTGACAAAAGCACAACAATGCAAACTGGTAGGAGGGGAACCCAAAACACCTGAGCAGACTTCAGACTACAATCCGACATTCACTAATTTCAACCAAATCCCTCATTTTTCAGGTGAGGAAACTGCAGTCCAGAGGGGTTTCTTGAACTGCCCAAGGACACACCATATTTAGTGATACAAGCTTGGACCAAAACTGAGGTCCCCTGATTCCTGGTCCAGATTTCTTTCTACTGTACGTGAGGAACATACAAATAAAAGGTTACCACAATTAACTCACAAGACCTCCAAAATGTGTTTGTCAAAATGAATTTTGTTGTGAAATATCAGCCTACACCCAACCCCTGTGGGCTCTGGAGTTCAAATAGTCTACCACTGAACCATGCAACCTTGGGCAAGTCATAGCACCTCTCTGCCTAGTTCCCTCATCTTTAAAATGCAATTTAAAATACTCCTCTTATTAGGGCTGGGGATATAGCTCAGTGGCACAAGCATCTGCCTGGCAAGCACAAGGTCCTCAGTTCAATTCCTGGCGCAAAAAAACTCTTCTCAGCGACATGCAACAATTTACATGAAGTATTTAGGATAGGGCCTGGTACATATAAAGCACTCAGTTCATATGAACAACAATAATGATAATGAATCCAAGCAAAAGTACAGCTTTCTAGGCCAGGGAGATAGCTCAGTAGAATAAACACTTGCCTGGGAGGTGCAAGGTCCTGAGTTCGATCCCCAGTACTGGAAGAAAAAAAAAAAAAAAAGTACAGCTTTCTGAAAATAATGCACAAAGGATTATCACTAAGTACATCGTATATTCTCAAAGAAAGATTACAGTAACACAGATTACAATATACAGGCCTCAGTCTAAAATCTCTATAGCATTATAATAACAAAACATGTGCCAAGAATTATAATTTCTATCTGTATTTTGGTTTTTTTAAAGAAACTAGTTTTCTCAATTTTCCATCTTGTAAATTTAATACAGCATTTTTTCCAGTAACATACCATCTTCCAGATAACATGCTTTTCTCATGTTTATTATCTTTAGCTTTCAATATCTACATATTACCACAGACAAAATTGTAGTACAAAAACACCTGAGAGACCATTCCAGAAAGAAGAGTGTCATCAGGACCACAAATAGCAATGATGGCCATCCTTTAAGAGCTTTCAGTGATAAAAACAACCCTCTGTGGCACATGTCCCAGAGGTCCACCACCACTGATCTATAAGGGAGGATGACAATCAGGGTAAATAACTGAGAATAGGAATATGCTCAGTGGAAAGAACACAAGTGACCAAGAAAAACCTTAGCAGGATTACAAGTTGTTTCACGTAAAGAATACACATAATAGGGGCCGGGGGGATGGCTCAGTGGAATAAGCGCTTCCCTGGCAAGCACGAGGGCTTTTCAATCGCCAGTTCCACAAAAAAAAAAAAAAAAAAAAAGAATACATATAACCATTTCAGCAAAGCACCATTATTGTGACTTAAGAGTATTATTATCTGTTTAAAACAACAAAAACAAAAACTGGTTTTCCTAATGATGCTATGCTACATACTAGGCTATAACCCAAAACATACAACTTTTGCAGATTTGGGGTCAGTCTTAACCGAAAGTAGTAGGAATACAAGGTGAAATAAAATTTTTTAAAAAGTTTGTAAAACAAAGCAACTATTTATAAACATTTTTATTTGATGTTCACCAAAAAATCTTAGTAAGATACTAATTTCATTTTTTGATGAGGAAATTGAGGATCAGAAAAAAAAAATACTGTTAATGAAGTCACAGAGAATAGAGCAGAAAGGGCAAAAGCTAGGTTTGGGGGGTTTGGTGTGGGTGTTTGGGGTTTTTTTTTGTTTTTTTTTTGGTCGGGTTTTATTTTTTTGCGAAAGGATCTCATGTAGCTCAGGCTGCCCTTGAACTATCCATATAGCTCAGCTGGCCTCAAACTCACAGTGATTCTCCTGCCTCAGCCCTGCCAAGTGCTAGGACTATAAAAGCTAGGTTTTGCACTTGACTTTAATTGCTCTTTCCACTTTGCATCCTCAGAACACTCATACCCTCTAGCTCTGATATTCAATAAACTTCAAGCAATAGTAACTAGCATTTATAAAGCTGCATCCATGGGTCACCTCACTGAACCTTTAGGAGCACAGAAATGGATGTTACTACTATCTTCATTTTATAAGTGAAACAGACGAAACCTCTCAGAAAGATGAAATAATTTGCCCCAAATCACATAAGCAGCAGAATAAAAGATTAAACTAATTTCATCTAGCTCTTAATAAAATGCATTACAGTATAAATTCAATTAATACAACTATGTATTTTGCTGAATTATTAAATGAACTATGAGTAAAACCATTCTCTAGCATTCTAATACACAGCAAGTAGATTTCAGACTAATTTCCGTATTCAACCTCACTATAAAATAAATAGGTGTTATCTGAACACAAATAACCACAAACTTAACTGACAGGACTTCTTTGCAGCCCCTACATCAAAAGATTTCTTTTTCACCCAAGAAGAACCAAAAAAACAAGCAACTCAAAATTTCTATCCAAAGTACAACCTTCAAATTGTGAGTGGCTTCTGTGGATAAGTCACTAATCAGTCCTTTGTGTGTAGAATGAACACGATTGAACCAAGGGTTTTCACCCTGAGCTACATTCTGGCCCTCTCCCCTCTTTTGAGACAAGGTCTCCCTATAAACTGCCAGGGTGTCCTGGAACCTGCCATCCTCCTTCCTCAGGCTCCCGCAGTGTTGTGACTACAGGTGTTCGTCACAGCACCTATCAGTCCTTTAAAATAAATAGTCATTATAAAATAAATAGGTGTTATCTGAACACAAATAACCACAAATTTAACTGACAGGACTTCTTTGCAGTCCCTACACCAAAAGATTTCTTTTTCACCCAAGAACCAAAAAACAAGCAACTCAAAATTTCTATCCAAAGTACAACCACCACTTGCGAATCTTAGTAGTAACTGTCACTGTTGGAGGGCAAGTATATTTCTAAGACTGCAACATGGTTAATCCTCTAAAATTGTGTATTATGAATTTCAACAAGCCTAAAAGTGTGGTGTGGTGAGTATATGATTATGTTGTCCCAACAGAGAATTTTGATAGTGACACAGGGGCTATCCCATTGCTCAAAGGTTACTACTACAACTCATCAAATTGTTTACTATACAAAAGGTTTAAAACAAAAAAAGCACCATCTTTCAAATGAAAAAGTTTCAGAAATAAAGTTGAAAAGTCATCATTTTGGTTAGTTTTAGTGAAAAAAGTGGAAGTCCATCACAATATAGTACAGTGAGAAGAAAATTCTAGTGCTGTGATGCCTCTCCAGCTAACTCCAGCATCAGCTGCACAACCTAGGAGTCAGGAGAATGCTTTGCTTTAATTTACCAAGCTGTAAATAAATACTAACAGACATATGCTTTGAACTATACTATTTAAGTGAAAGGCATTATTTGAATTAAGACTTTTTTTTAAAGGTAACAAAGTTCTAAGAGCTGGCCTCTAATTTAAAACTCAACCAAACCAAAAGTTGAAAGGGGTCTCAAAATTTAGACCTAGGCTATTCTGTGCAGTAGCCACCAGTCAAATGTAGCCATTTAAGTTGGTATTGATGAAATCAGATATTCAGTTCCTTAATGGCACGTGCCACATTTCAAGATCCACTGGCACCTGGGGGACGCCATACTGTGTCATGCACAGTACGCACATTTCCACCACAGAAAGCACGGTTGTAGACCTACACACACCAGGATGAAGAGCATCGTATTTACAAAAGACTACCAAAGGCATTCCTGACCAGAGTCGGTCAAATCCAGCTTCTTTGGAACATTCACTAATGATTCTACGAGTCCATTCTTCAAGTAAGTCTTTGTAGAGGTCTTCTCCCAGACAGACACTTTTTCTTTTTCGAATGACATGGTTAAGTCTAAATTTCTGCTAACCCAGGGAAATGGTTGAATAACCCTGGTCCTCTAGGGGTAGGCAACGCTGTAACACGCCACTCTCTCCCTACTTTCACTCTCATAGTCAGGCCAAGGGGCTTCATTTTTACTTGAAATTTAAAAAAAAAAAAAAAAAAGGAGGACTCACACTCTCACTGATACAGATAAAAAATAATAGCAAACCCTGTGCCGGCCTGATAGCTCAGCGAACTAAAGCGCCTGCTTAAGCAGGCTCAGGAACTTTCCATCCCAGAATTATAAACCGGCCCCGCCCCCCAAGGCTCACAGAGATCCGAGATTACAACTGGGCGTGGTGGCGTGCGCCTATAATCCCAGCTCTTGGGAAGCTGAAAACAGATCACTACGAGTCCGATCTGTGTAGTGAAACCCTGTAGACCCTGTACTAAATACATGAGAAAAAAATTAGTAACAATCGCAAGCCCCGCGTGTTTCCACAGCTTCCAGTCCCAGCGCTCAGGGAGGCTGAGGCGAGGCAAAAGGTTCGTTGAGGGCCCGCCCGCAAGGGGCACCTTAACGAGGACCGGTCCCAAAAATAAAAAAGGGCTGGGATGTAATTTAGTGCCAAAACCCTGGGGTTCAACCTCCAGGAACGCAAAAGAAGTCAGGCAGGGGGCGCGGCGACCGTGCCCGAGCAGCAGAACCGCTGTCCTGAACCAGTACTCCGGGCCCATTATACAGACCCGAACTGCGGGCCAAGGACTAAAGGGCGCTCCGCGAGGGTCTCGGGGAAGTAGCCTCCTCCCGCGGGCGCCGGTCGGCCACGAACGCCCCGACTCTCCTCCCGCGCGCGGCCCCGACCCGCCGCGCGGCCCGCCGCTCCCGCCCCCGCGCCCCGACAACCTCTGCCTAAGGACACTGTAGCGCGGCGCGCGTCCCGCGTGGTCGAGGAAGGGGCGGAGAAGGCGCGGCTGCCGCAGCCGCAGCCGGGGACGCGATTGGAAGGGGCGGGCGGGGCCGAGCCGGAGTAAGGCAGAGCTGACTGGGCGACGCGGCTCGAGAGGCGCAAGATGGCGCGAGCGCGCCCAGGAGGGGGAGCACGGCGGCGCTCTCAGGGCTCGGCGCGGGCGCATGCGCACTGGGCGCGCCCCGCTTACGACAGTGCTACTTCCGCCACACTCCCAGCGGCGGGCGCCGCGTGCCGGAGGCTGGGCTCCTCCTGGGTGGGCAGAGCGGGGGCTGCTGGGAACGGCCGGGGGGGTGGGGGAGGTTGGGGTCCAGTCTTGCAGAAGCGGCCCGGCCGGGCTCAGGATGGGGTGGCTCATGCTGGAAGCGTCTTTTCAACCTCTGGGGTCCAGATTGGCAAGCCTCTCTTCAAGAATAGGGGATGTGCAGGGCACACACGCCTGTAGTCCCAGCGTTTGGGAGGCGGAGGCAGGAGGATTGTTGCAAGTTCCAGACCAGCCTGGGCTACAAAGTGAATTCAAGGCCAGCCTGAACTGCATAGTGAGACCCTGTCTCAAAAAAAAAAAAAGTAGAACTGAAAAAAAAAAATCTTTTAAAGAAAAAAAGAAGTGGGTGATCCGGAATCTTACCTAGATGGTGTTTTTTTTGTTTGGTCAGTGGGTCAGTCGGTTGGTTGGTTGGTTGGGGTTTTTTACTACTATTCCCACCCCAACCTCTCCCCATGCTCTCCAAGACTGGAAGCAGAATCCAGGGCATGCAAACTGAGCTACATCCCCCAGCCCTTCTTTACTTTTGAGACAGGATCTGCTTATTTGCCCATACTGGGCCCAAACATGTGACTCAGGTGGCACACCTGATACCAGCCTTCTGGCACACCATTCCCTACCCTGCTTTGCATAAAATCCCAGCGCTGTAGTGAGATAAGATCTGTTTTTCATAACACACACACACACACACACACACACACACACACGTTTTACTAAGTGTAGGCATTTAAAGACTGTATTTTTGTTACTGAAAACTTTTTTGGAGTCTTTATGGATGAGCCATGTTTATTTTTCCTGAGGAGTTGGGCCTGCTCCTCATTTGCTAAGTCTTGCATGGCCGCTGTTGAAGCGTACCTCCTGTCCTCCCACAGCTGATCGTAATGGATACAGTTCTTTAAATAATGGTCTTCAGACAATCTCAGATGTCTTTATCCTAAATCATTTGAAGTCTTATTTATGTTCTTAACATTCTGTTTAGCTGTTTAGTAGGAGAGACTGATTATCTGTGCTTACATCCAGTCCTACGACGTCGAATAGAAAATATTTACTAGGAACTCAACTTTTAACCTTTACTGGGTCTTTCAAGCGTTACTGTTTCCATTATTTTCTTGCCTATGAATATATGCTATCTGCAGTAATCCCTCCTCATGCTTATGCTTTTTAAAATAGCAACTTGGTGATCTCTTAGTTGTACTCTGTTAATTTTGTATTTAGCTCTTTAAGAGTCTCAACACTTCAATATTTGCAAAAATTTAAATTTCAAAAAAAAAAAGTATACTCAGGATGTAGAAGCTCAGCATAATGTGTAAGCGCTGCCCCAGTTTATGCTAGGCAAAGTATACAGTATAAGGGAAAGTAAAAGAAACTGCCATAACTTCTTAAAGGAAGATGGTCTACATACTATAGCTGTAAAGCTTTTTTTAAGTGCATTGCCAAGAAAGCAGTTAAAAGAGAAGTTTTCACATCTAAAGAAATACTACTCCAAGCTGATTTTTTAAAATTAAAATGATACTCAATTAATGTTACCTATATGGTAGTGTTTGCATCTGAGCTTTTTCTGCATAAATGGACCCAAGACTGAGTTTGGCAGAACAGTGCCCACATGTTCTCCTAACTTCAACATAATTAGGAGTTAATGAAAGTGGCACATGGAGAAAAAGAAACTGGTCAAGGAACTGCTACAGGGTGCTTAAAAAAGCAATTCTTAGAAAATTGTGAGTCATGCTAATGGTAGAGATCTTAGCCTTAAAATCACACATTTTATACAAAAATATTTTTCCAGTTAAAAAAAAAAAAAGACCTCTACTACCAGTAAGACCAGAATATCTTAACTATAACAAAGCTAAACAACCAAGCTGTTTTTGAAGTTCCCACTTTGATAACTACTGCCTCGCAGAAAAACAGTTTCCAAAGTATGTGAGGAAAACATCAGGAGGCCAAGCAAACTCGTCACACCATAGAAATGTCTCTGCCTCCTGGACACAGTCACTAAAGCAAAATGAAGCATTGTTAGTGTACTGTAAATGTGTACACACTTCTGGCATGATAACCTTCAGACAGATTCAAGAACTCCAGGATAAAGGGCACATAGCTAAGCAAAAATGCCCATGAGCTTCTTTTAAAATTAGATTGTGTTATAAAAGAAGTTCTCATGCTTGAAAGACTAGCAGAAACCATGGCTAACATGAAGCCATAAGGGGCGTCTTAATATTTGGGTGTCATAGTGATGTTTCATCTCAAATGATCTGCAAGTTGTTACCCTTTTGATGATTTCTAACTCTTGCTTCTTAGGATGCTCGTTTTCTGATTTATCAGTTATTTTATACTTTGCTGTATTTAGCTTAGGTTTTTTACTGCTTAAATTGTCATGGCAAGAACTGGGTAGAACTACATATCATTTAGAAATATGTATGCCATGTGTTGTTATATTCAACTAATTTTCTAACACTGGGAACTATTTTTTATTGCAAGCTCATGAGTCCCTTACATTAGTTTCAGAGTAAGTTTTCCTGACCCAAAACAGTATTTGACTCTACTGTACCTGAATAAGTCAATAGTCTTCATTTTCATGTCTGTGGAATAAGGGGATTAACCCAAAAGAACTAAAACATTGGAGGTCAAAACTTCTATACTTATTTAAAAGGTAAAAGAATAGATTCTAATGTTGTGTAGAATGATTTCAGTATTTATGCTATTATACACTACATGAATAGGCAGAGCTCTTGTTTTAGGCCATGTTGAGTATTCAACTGATGTTATACATTTCAAAAAGAAAAAACAAAATGGATGAGTCAAATCTGATATACTAGAGAGGTTAGGGGACCTGAGAATTATCCATGAGTAATCAAGTTGGCTTCTTGTACCTTCCAGTTACATCCATGTATTTCAAGTCAAGAAGAACCAAATAATGATGAGAAAAATATTAAGAATTGCGGTACAGCATAGGTAGCTTATAGAATTGCTATCATAGTCATCCAGGATCTTCTAAGCTTAGTGCTTGGCCACTGAGAAAGCAATTATGTTTTTAAGGGTGAGAATGGAAAGAAAATCACAGAATAAATGAGGTTTCAAGAAACCTTTGAACCCTCAAGTCAGTAGGAATTTAGTTTCTCTCATCCTCATGAAACCCCGTGTCTTAACACTCTTCAGCTGGAAACATCTTTTATCTTTCAACACATACCTATTGTATGTGTTGAAAGATAAAAGGTACTTACTGGGCCTACCATGTGCCTGATATATCCTAGGAGCCGCAACTATAACAGCGTTCAAAGGACAGAAATCCAGAGGGCCAGATAGCTCAGCAGATAAAAGCACTGTGAGCAGGCACAGGGGCCAAGGGTTAGATTCCCGAGCCTGCCATGCAGGCCCCACCCCCGGGGGAACACTGGGATGGTGATTGAGACTGGGCGTGGTGGCATGCACCTGTAATCCCAGCACTTGGGAGGCTGTAAACAGGTGGATCACTACGAGTCTGATCTAGTAGTGAGACCCTGTAGACCCTTCCCTAAAATACAAAAAAAAGAGAGAGAGAGAGAGAAAGACAGAAATCCAGACCATCCCTGAACTCACATTCCCATGGGAAGAGTTTAACAACAGAAAAAATACCTACATTATATAGTATGTTAAAAGGCCAAGAGAGTTTGGTGTGGAGTGCTTATAAATCAGAAGGGATATGGAGTGAAACAAAGTAGAGAATGAGTGAGTTGTAATTTTTAAATCAAGCAATTGGGTAGAGTAAGAAACTGCCATCAGGGGACTCAGGCCTTAGAATGGTGACTCTGTCATAGGGTTTGAAATAGTCTCTAGTGCGTCAGGTGTTACTGTGGGACTCCAGGCAGAACAGGACGGTAGCCTGCACCAACGCTTTCATGGGAACAAACTTAAGGCCTGGCTGGATGTGTTGAAAGCTACTTTGATTAGCTGACATAATGGATTTAAGCTTCTGGAGAAAGAATCAAGGACAACCAAGAGTTTTAAGATTCTGGGAAAAGGAATTTTCTTGTATGGACTGTAAAGGGAAGACTGGAATTTGCATGGAGTATGATGGGTTTGGGCAAGTCTATAATTCAGTTTGTGAAATAAGTACGGTAACTGCAGTTTTTGTACCATCTGAGGTCTTGATCCCATTATATACAAATTCTTATGGAAATGAAGGAAATTGGAGATTTGCAACATTTTATAATTATTTAATGAACCTGTAATCCTTTTTGTACAATAGTGGTATAATATAATAATTTGTATAATGTTCTGACGTTTAAACCTAGCATTTCAAAAATATTTTGTTTTAAGAAAATGTGAGAAAAATGGAAATCTTTTCAAAATAAAATGTTTTTGTAATTTTTGTAGGCCAGCCTAATAGCACAGTGGACTAAAGCGCCAGCTTAGGCAGAACGCAGCAGCTGGGCTTCAACCCCCAGTGTGCTGTACCAGGCCTGCCTGTGGGGCACACTAAGACAGCAAAGACACTGGAGATCCTGTACTAAATGCAAAAAAAAAAAAAGTATCCAAGTTATTCTTAAGGGCCAGCCAAACAGCTCTGCAGACTAAAGCGCCTACAAGCAGGCACAAGGGTCAGAGGTTCCTTCCCGGGCCTGCAGTGCTGGCCCCGCCCCCAGGGTGGCAACTGAGACTGCAATTGAGACTGGGCATGGTGGTGCATGTCTGTAATCCCAGCTCTTGGGAGGCTGTCAACAGGCGGATCACTACGAATCCGATCTAGTAGTGAGACCCTGAACACCCTGTAGACCCCTCCCCCTCCCAAAAAAATACTGCTACTAATACTACTAATAATAATTTTATAAGAGCTTTGTCCATTAATGCCTGAAA